ATAAAGTTAAAAAAAATTAAAAAGTACATAAGATTCCAAGTATCTGGCTACACGGAATGGTCATTTATAAGTAAACTTTCCAACAGAATTATAAAATAGAGAAATATTAAGAAAAATACAATTTTCTTCTTTAGAAAACCCTGTGTTATCCCAAAGATTCACACTTGTATTCAGTACCATTGGTAGAGTGAATGTGGAAAGGACACACCAGAGAAATTATTTATCTTATAAGAAAACTAATGAAGTGATGCTTTGGCAATAGCATAATAGAGTTGAATTTAATTACAACTTTGTAGTTCTAAATCCATCAACATGTCTCTTTTTCTTTAAATTTTTTTTAATATTGCATACATTTTAAATACTAGGGGATTTCACTATGATAATCCAATACAGGCATACAATGTACCTTGAACAAGTACATCCTCTCCATTATATTCCCATTTGCTTTCTCTCTCTACCTTCTTTTTTCATTAACTATTGTCTTCATATATATATATATATATATATATATATATAGTATATATATATGTTGTGTATATATATATGTATATATATATATATATATATGTTGTATATATACATATATATATATGTTGTATATATATATGTTGTATATATATATATGTATATATATATATACAACATACTTTCCTCTTTACCACTCAGTTTCCTTTCCTTTTTTCACTCCATCTTTCCACTGAAGCCTTCAGACAGCCAGACATGCATTCATGTCCTATCATCCCCATAATTTTAAGGCTACATTCCACAAATGAGCAAGAACATTCAACATTTGGATTTTGAGTTGTTTTTTTTCTTGGATTGAGTTTTTTTTTTTTTTAATCCTACTCAGTAAAATGATATCCGGTTCTGTCCATTTTCCTATAAATGACATGATTGCATGTTACCTTATGCCTAATAATGTTGAATCTTATATATTTCTTTATCCATTCATCATTGTTGAGCACCTCAAATGATTCCACAGTTTACATATTGGGAAGACAGTTGCAATAAATTTGGTTATGCAGGTATCTGTCTTATATACTGATTTACCAGCTTCAGATACCTGCCCAAGAGTGTTCGGGAAGAGTCCTGAAGTAGGACTGTTTTTAATTTTTGATGAACCTCCATAGTGGTGATACTAGTTTATATTCCCAGCAACAGTGTACGAGGATTCCTTATCTCTTGCATCCTTATCAGCATTTTTGTTTTCTTGATAATGGCCAGCCTTATTGGGCTGAGATAGAATCTTAGTGTAGTTGTGATTTGCATTACCTTTATGGTTATGGATGTTCAGTATTGCTTACTTATTTATTAGCCATTTAAATTTCTTCTGAGAACTGTCTCTTTAATTCATTTACCAATTTACTATTCTGATGATTTGTTATTCTACTGTTTGTTATTTTGTGCTCTTATATATTCTAGATATTAATCCTTCATTTGTAGAATATTTGTTAATGATTTTCTCCCATTCTTTTGGTTGACTCTTGATTCTGGCAATTGTTCCTTTTGATGTGCAGAAAGATTTTTATTTGATGTAGGAACTTTGGCTGACTCTTGTAATCGTAAGTACTTGGGAGGTAAAGATCAAGAAGGTTCCAGTTTCAGGTCAGCCCAGGCAAGGGGTTTGTTAACCAATAGGTAGGCACAATGGTAGGCACCTATCCTGCCAGCTATGTGGGAGGCTGAGATCGAAAGGACCATGGTACCAGGCCTCCCTAAGCAAAAAGTTTGTGAGAGTCCAGATCAACGGGAGATAACTGGGCATAGTGGCATATACATAGCACCCCAATGATGACAGGAAGATTAAAGTAAGGACTATAGTCCCTTTCTCCAAAATAACAAGGGCAAAAAGAGCTAGAACTGTGGGTCAAGTGGTAGAGCAACTGGCTAGCAAAGGTGAAGCCTTGAGGTCAAACAAAAAATTTAAAAAAACAATATGTTTTAAGTTCAGTTTTATAAACTAAAGTTGTTATAACTACAAGTTCTGACTGGCAGTTTCTGATAATTATAAAAAATAAAATTAAATAATTATTACTTCATGTCTATGCACTAGGGACTTAATAAGAGATAAAGAGAAAGAGGGCTATGAAGAGAGGTGCAGTTGTGTGACAAGAGTAAGATATCAAAACGGGGGAAATTTCAGGTAAACACAGAAAATATAATGGTTGGATATGGAGAAAAATGGACAACTATGAAAACCCTGTCATGCAATTCCATTTTGCTTTATTTTAAAGAAGCAAAGAAAAGGGTTTGAACATGAAAACACAAACAGCATTAAGATGAGAAATTTATAGTAGCCAATCAGTGCTGCCTCAGAATTTCATATGAAATCCAGCTTTTATTTTCTAACACTCTTAAACTATCCTACCTCCGTGCTTTGGAGAGTCACCACAGTAGTGGAGTACACTGTTTTCCTTTATTTAAACTTTTTTTTCATTTATCTATTGAAAGTTTAGCTAGTTCAAATTACATATGATCCCCAAAATTGTACCTGTTTCTCCAGAAATAAAAATCTCCCTCTACTGCCTATACTTGGCTACTTCTATGTGCTTTCTTAAATGTGTGTTCTATTGAATAAATTAATCCCATTTAAACAGATACTCACACTTTGTTGTTTCATTTACACAAGCATTTTGTGCAAGGTAAAAAGGGCCATCTGCCTTATTCTATTTTATGGACAAAGTATGACTTATGATAGAGAGAATTTTGCTAGAAATAGTGAAGCCAGAACTAGGATGTGATACTATGATATTAAATAACCTCTCTGTCATATAAAACAACAAATTATAAGTATCCATGTAGATTGCATCATAGAACAAACAAATCCTGATCTATCAGAAAATGGTACCAATTAACATCTTAATTTCCTGATGACACAAAATCAAGATATAAAAATTTCATGGTGAGACAAGTACCAAAGTAGGAACCAATATATCTATAATGAGTATTGGTGAAAAGGGAAAGGACAGATACTCAATGATATCAGAGCAGGAAAGAGGAGAATGATAGTGACAAGATAACAGCAAAATCAGAAGGAAGAAGAAAAAATATATCAGAGGGGAGTCGGGGATACAATGTTAGCTGAAGAATTTTACCTAAGATTTCATCATCGAGTTTAGCCTCTTTTTCTTCGATGGACTGTGATATCACATACCCCCAAACCACTGAACGGATGTGATATGGATCATGGCCAACAGTTTTAAAAACTCAATTGTGGAGAGAGTGGAGTACTATCACAGAAACACTTCAAATGAATAGAATTCCTCCCAAGAAAAAAACTTCTTCCAGGGCAGTCTCAATGTCCTGCTCTTTACTCATACAGTCTCAGAGTAAAGAGGCTTTGGGGAGATAATACAGCTTTGTCCAGAGGCCAGTGAAAGCATAGGAACCTTGGTCCCATGTAACATAACCCCTCACTGATGGAAATGATCCCAAGGAGCACCATCTTTTATAGAAGATACATTCAGTATAGGTACATCAAATCAGACTTGAGGAAACTATGAAAGAAAGCATTTCAGGTGGATTAAAAATGTTGCCTTTTTCTTTTTAAGCAAACATTTGACTTCCAAAATACCTCTACTCTAATATACTTAGAAGATAGATTACATGAAGGCTAAGGTAAAACATGAAAATTTAACTTCACCAAGATATATCAGTGATTTCTACGACAAGAGGATATGTGGTGTGGAAAGTTGATATAGAGTGGGCACCTTGCACGTTAGAATATGCACATGGTTCCTCCAGGATAACCGGATTAGATAAAAAAACCAAGTAGATGCTGGACTGGAGAGGAGGGCTGTGAGAAATAGGAGCTGTGTCTTAATTAGATTTTTGAAAATATTACAGAAGACATTTCCATGTGCTCAGAGAAATGCCTCTGAATTCAGACCAGATATTTTCCCAATTTTTCATTTGTAAAAGTATAAGTAAAATATGTTTCTTTTAGTTGCATTAAATATTTATAGTAATTGCCACAAAAGTTTGCAGGAACTACAAGAAAACCATAACTCCAAACTAGTTCCAAAAGAGGTCTAATGAGCTACCTAATTGACAGTCAGAGAGCAAAAGAAAGTCAGAAAAATGCTTCAAGGCACTTTGAACTGCAATTGAGGAATATTTGAACCCTTTTTTACTTGATTGACTTAAGCCCATCTTTTCTAGAAGGATGAAAGTCATTGAAGCCAGTTAGAGGTTGCAAGCTATTAAAAAAGGACCAGATTATATTACAAAATTAATTTCCTTCCTTGGAGACAGTATTTCTACCTAGCACATCTGCTCAATATCCTATTGCCTTTGATGTAAATGCAATGGAGATAAAGTGAGAGGTCCAAAAGTGAGAGTGGTATAAGAGAAGTAGAAGACAAAAACTGCTATCAAAGAATGCTGTCAGTAGATTAACCATATTTTGCAGTTTTTCTGATCATTCCACTGACAGCTAGCAAACCCATTTCAGAATCATCTTAGGGAAAATAATGCCACTGAATATGGTTTTTGTGATAAATAGGATGGAAAAATTTTGAAGAACATTTTTCATACGTCATTTAGAATGTTTTTTCTTAGTGTATACTAATTATATAAAAGTTGTTCATGGTGATAGTCCTAATTATACATATAATGCATTTTGCTCAAATTCACCCCCTCTAATTTTTTACTCTTTTTAAACAATCTTTAATGGAATTCATCATTTTACTATAATACTATTCACTCCCATTTCATCTTCCCTACTACTTCCCACTGGTTTCCACAACCAATCAGTCCCTATTTTAAACCTATGGTTTTCTTTTTAATTTACTTGTGATGATTTTGAATTGACAGCTCGGGATTGATGTCTTATATGAAAGTGAACACATCATTTGTAATCTCTACATAAAATCGTTTCTATGGATATATCATATACATTCTTTACAATGCAAATCCATGAAGCTTGTATTCAAAATCATTTTATCTTCATTCTTCATAATTTTAATTTTAAAAAAACTTAATGATTACTTTTCATCACACTACCATATCAATCTCTTCCACACTTTCCACATAGCATTTTTTATGTCTTTATTCCTGAAAGTATAAATCATAGGATTGAGCAAGGGAGATAGGATGGTATAAAATATTGCCACCATTTTGTCAAAGGAGAAGGCAGTTGGAGGCCGTGCATATATAAATATGCATGGGGCAAAAAACAAAACCACAACAGCAATGTGGGATCCACAGGTGGAGAGAGCTTTCCTTCGCCCTTCAGATCTATGAGTTCTGAGAGAGAACAAGATGGCACCATAGGAAACAAGCAACAAGGAAATGATTATAATGCAGATAGACCCACTGTTAGCAGCTACCAAAAAGCCAAAGATATGAGTGTCAGTGCAGGCAAGCTTCAGTAATGGGTACAAGTCACACATGAAATGGTCAATGACATTGGGACCACAAAAGGGCAGCTTGAAAGTGAAGAGAATTTGTGTGATAGAGTGTAAGAAGCCACCTGTCCAGGCTATCATCACTAGAATTCTACAGAGTCTCCAGTTCATGATGGAAAAGTAGTGTAATGGCTTGAAAATGGCCACATAACGGTCATAGGCCATGGCTGTGAGAATAATTACCTCTGCCCCAGCGAGGAAATGTTCCAAAAAGAGCTGTATCATGCATCCTTCAAAGGAGATGGTTTTCCTCTCATAGAGGGAGTCCACAATCATCTTTGGCATGATTACTGAAGAGAAGCATGCATCCAGGAAAGATAAGAATACCAAGAAGAAATACATGGGAACTTCCAGCAGTGTAGGACTGCAGATTATGGTCACTATAACAACCATATTGCCCCCAATAGTTGCAATGTAGATAAACAAAAATACAATAAAAACTATCTTCTGAATTTTGGGATTCTGTGAAAGTCCTAGGAGAATGAATTCAGTTACAGTGCTCTGATTTTGCATGATTTCAAAGACAAAGGCAAAGGAAAAACCGTGATGATGTGAGTCTAGAACTATGAGAATGTAGTTTCCAACACATTTGTAATATTATAGGAATCAATAAGTTGCTGCATTATTATGAAATCTTGCTATCCCAGAGAAAACAAAAAGTATAAATGTGTTGAATAGTTGGAGATTAGGTAGAACTTAGTTGGAGATAAATTAATGAACACATCAAAATAACAGATTTTCAATATGGAAAAGATAGCATCCACATGTGGAAGAGAAGAGAAATAGCTTTGACCATTGTTTAGTGACATATTGAAATCAATTTTTGAAAGGTGTTCTGATGCCACACTCAAGTTATGAACAAAGAAAAATTATAGCTTATCAATTGTATCCTCAGAATGGAATGCAATAGGATGGTCATTCTTCCATGACTGATAGGAGGAATGCCTTGTCTACCAGAAGAAGAAATAAGAAACAGTTTAATATAAACATGAAAATATTGGCTACACCTCAAACTTTCTATACAAGTATTAAATAAATTGGGCTTTTAAATTAATTCATTCTTTATAAAACAGGATGTTATGTTTCAAAAAGTGCCAACCTTTACACTGGCTGCATAAGTATGTACAAAGATTTGCACTTTCAATTTATCTTTTTAAAATGTGATGAGAACTTAAAACAGGTTAAGTTCTGTTAACCTGAACTTAACCAGGTTAAAATAATGCAAGGAAAGAAAGTGCATTGTCTGGGAAACAGCCTGTATTAGGTCTTGTTACTCCAATTTTATTGATGGGAAAATTGTAATTAAAGATGTTAATTTCAAGCAAACAACACGTACTTGTTCTGAAACTTGAAGAGACTCTCTGCCTCAAACAGCCATGTTCTCTTCACTGCTCAACAGAGAAAGGAGTGGATATTTTCCTTTTCCAACAGGAAACTTAGAGATCTAAATTTAGAGGTGATCTTTACAGTCTCTTGCCACCTCCAAAAACTAAAGCCCCTTATTACTTAGTACATGTGTGAATGAGGCATCTTGATAAATGATATAGAATCAGAATGTCATGACCTTCATATGTAACTTGGGAACAGCCACATAGGTAAGGAAGAAAAACAGCAGGAATAGAGTCTTGAGACTTTATTTTTGCCATTTGTTTTATCAACATGACCCTATTTGAGCCAATACAATTTATCAAAATATATGGTTTAAAATTTATGTGAGTTAATTACAAACTGAGATGCTCATAAACAGCTTTCCTGGTCATCATCCAGTATTATAATGAAGGCCAAATTTGACAGTATATGTTCTTAACTATTCTAGTTCTAATTAACTAGCTCAAAAACATAACAACCTTACTCACATAAAGTTTTTCCATGAGGTCTCTAGACAAATACTGCAAGTCTTGAGTTCATTTTCCACAGGTAGACACAGCTTCAAAAGGCGATTGTATCCTCACCTGCATGTACAACCAAAATTTATTAGTAAAATAGCATTTGTGTGAATTTGTATGAACATTTCTATGTACATATATGCATGCACACACATGTACTTGTAGTTAAAATGGGTTAATAGAAGAATACTAGTGTTCATATTGAGATGGAAAAATAGTCTGACTTTTGTGAGTACCAGTAAGAGTTAACAGAAATAGAAACAATTTTAAATGTTAATAAAATTAACATATATATGCATGTATATATTTATATATACACATGTATACATATACTGTTTGAAACAGCGGGGAGAAGGAAGAGAATAATATAAATATAATGGAGGAGGCAAACATGTTCAAAGTACATGTACACATGTGTGGAATTATCACAATGAAATCCCTTCATATTATTAATGTATGCTCATTCAAAAAAGAATAAAACCAAAGCATTTCCTTTGTTCTCAGTTCCATTCCTTACAAGTGTTGCACTGTTAGCTCTGTATGTACTTATATGATATCACCCAGTAAGCAAGCGTATAAAAGCAATCCTACAAGGTTATTGGATAAGTCAACAGCAGCTTATTATAAAGAAAATATATAATTTAGCAGTAGTCAGTTCAGTTCAGCCTTGGATGAAGCAAAATGTCTCAGAATTCTAATGAGTACGAACGTCTCCTCTAGACTCATTCAGACATAAGCTCAAGTCCAGGCTACTCTTTTTATTCTGTGACGTAGTTCTTAAAATTCTGTGAGCCTCAAGTTTCACTTGTATAAATTGTTATAACATGAAAGACTATCCATAGGGTTGTGTGTGTGTGTGTGTGTGTGTGTGTGTGTATGTGAATTATGTCAGGCCATACATGTAAAAACATTGACTCAGTCAGAAGCACAAGAGAAGATAATGACAAGTTGTGAATACAAGCTGCTGCTGCACTGATTGGTGCAGAGCAAAAATCAGAATATTTTTACTCCTATTTTCTGCCTTACCATGTCTAAAGCCTGTAAGGACTCTTTATTAAAATGTAAAATATTTTGGTTGATCAGTTAGAGCACCTAAATGACATTGTCAAGATGCATAACACTTTTTGCCCTCAGACCCACCTGCATTCAGTCCTGTTTCAAAGTGTTTCATTACACAAGGAAACTGAGTGGGAATGAAGAAAAGGCTCTGTATTAAAATAATAAATCAATCTTATCTCTATACATCCTTTATCTGGGGTATCCGAAGATCAATACAATTTTTTGATTAAAATAGTCATTAGATACAAAGACATTCACACTTTCTTTTTTCAAATGAAGGAATTTCCAAAAATAGTGTTAAGACATCAACAACTGAGACTAGAGTGTGCTCACAGTTATGATAACAAGGTTTATAATTTTAAGCATTTAAAATGTAGTTGTTCTAAAGACACTGTATTGTCCTAGATTGAATCCTATTAGTAGAAAAAGATAATTGCAAAAATTGCAAATACAAATAAAATCTTTCATAGTCAAAAGCAATACATCGATGTTTATTTCATAATCCTAACAAATGTATTCGTGGTACTGTAAGGTGTCAGTATTAAATGAAACTAAATGTGTACTATGCCAGAACAATCTCTATCATCTTTTTTTATGTTAACCTAACATTACTCCAAATAAAAAGTTAAATAAAAAGAAAAGCAATTCCTCACTTTCTGCAATAAAAAAGCTAGAAAACAATCTCATGGTCTACTGGCCTGTGTTATTGAACAAACCAACATACCTGAAGTTTTCTGATCCATGTGAGACAATTCAACAGTTGCAATGAGCTTGTTCAAACAGAATAAATCAAAAGAAAATATGTGAATATTGATGCCAGCATTGTTTTCAAGTGTCTCCATACATAAAGTGATGTCAAAATGTTAAAAAACACTTTAAAAATTATACCTGTCTTAAAATTTCAGTGTAACAGGTTTGCTCAAGTAATACTTTTATAAATCATATTGGTAAATAATTCCAAAATCACAAACATGTTTGTACTCTTTATATTAGTAACCCTAACTCTAAAAGTTTATTCTAAAAATAAAAATATGGAGAAATTTTACATTGAACAATGATGCATTGTCAATAATAATATTGAATAAGAAAAAATATGTAAATATTCAATAATGCAGATGTTTCTGTAAATTAATATTGCATAATACTTTAACTGAAAAACACAATACAAAAATATAAAAGATGAACCACTTTTGCTGACTATAGTGGCTCAACCTGTAATCCTAATTACTCAGGAGGTAGAAATTGGAAGGATTGAGGTTTGAGACAAATCCAGGCAAATCTCACAAGACTCCATATCAACCAATAAAAGCTGGGCATGGTGCGGTATGCCTGTTATTCTAGCTATGCTAGGAAGCACAAGTAGGAGGCTCTCAGTCTAAACTGGTCTGGGCATAAAGTGAGAATGTGTATCAAGAATAACCAAAGCCAAAAGGATGGAGGCATGGCTCAAATGATAGTGCACCTGTCTAGCAACTTTGAGGACCTGAGTTCAAACCCCAAAACCACAAAAAAAAAGGCTTTTTAAAATGTGCTAAGTAAAAAGTAACTGTGATTTTTATATTTTAATTATAATTTTACAATCTAGAACTGAACATATAAATATGAAAGAGACTTAAGTACAATACATATCATGCTATTATTATCAAGATATTTAAAATTAAAGGTCAAGATTAAAAGCAACAATTTTTCTTCATCTAAACTTCAGAAAAAGGATGCGAGATCTGGGAAAAATTCATTAGTAAAGGTAGAACTAAAGGCAAATATAGCATAGCATCATGTGTTAAACTTTTTTAACTATTATGAATTTTTCACAAATAACCATAGCATTGAGCCTTGGTCCATGTATTATATACATTCTTTCATATAAATTTCAAGTTCACATTCTCATATAAGTAGCACTTTCTTGTCTGCATTTCTCCTGGAGCATTCCATGTTTTCATTTTCTTGGTAGTCATATCTTGAATATGCTGAAATTGCACCTGAGGTTACTCAGGGTCCCAATGTTGTCCACATTTTTATTAATTGACCATATTTTAAGAAAATTAATCATATCGCCATTTTGCAAATAACGGAATTTCTCTGTTAACTGTAAAGTATATATAACACTCATACTATCAGAGGATTACTAGTTGACATTATAATAAGTAGTGTTTTAAACAATAGAGTTCAGTTTTATTTACATGTACATGTATGTGCATATGAGTCATATTTACATACATTTTTATATATAAATATTTTATTATAAATTAAAATCTTATTTGTAATTATCCTTTCTGTTAATACCTTAAATCCATTATATCTTTTACTGAGAATTATTATTCACTAGTAAAAGACTTATTCCTGGTCTGGCTAGCAAATCATTTTCCTTTTTATGACTATTTGGGAAATATATTCTCTTATGATTGTTAATCCTTCTCTCTCCACCTGGTTGCTCTGATAATTTCTATGAATGTCTCCAATTTTATATACTTTACCACTTATAAAATTTTAGGGGAAATACCTTTTTTCTGTTTCCACTAGTATCCTTCCTAGTGAATGCTTGAACCAATTTTGTTCTGTCCCTTTAGT